ATAATAATAATAATAATAATAATAATAATAATAATAATAATAATAATTGTTGTTGTTGGTTATACATTCAGCCAGATGTTAAAGTTGGATTTGGCATTTCTATCTACCTATTGAGTCCTTCCCAAGGACCTGGGATAGACAGATATTGTTATCTGATGGCGTCAAAAAAAAACCGCTGGAGGATGTAAGGTGTTCTAAGTAAAGTTGCATTTTGACTGATGGGGATACTGTTAGCGCCAATGAAATTCAAGTGATGTCCAGATGGTTTGGGATTACACCCAAGGTGCCTATTACTATTGATACTATCTTTGCTTTTTTTTGCGACAGTTGTTCTACTTTTATTTGCAGGTCCTTGTATTTCATGATTTTCTCCAGAGCTTTCTCTTCTAATTCTGCTGTCTACAAGTTCTGCCACATTCACCCTACAGATTTTTTTGTCTTCCTTATTGACAATTGTTAAGTCTGGGGTGTTGTGTGGCAGGTGCTTGTCTATTTGAATTCTAACGTCCCAGAGCACTTTATTTTTATTAGCTTTTTATACTGCCTTTTTTAAAATATAGAAATAACTCAAAGTGGTGAACATAGTTAATATCCTTCCTTCCTTGTCATTCCCCCACAGCAAACTTTTGAGGTGAGTTGGGCTAAGAGAGCAACTGACCCTAAGTCACCCAGCTGAATTTCATGTTTAAAAGAGGCCCAGAGCTCACAATTTCCTGGTTTCTAAGCCAGTGTTCTGACCAAGGTTTCCGAGACCCTAATTACGCGCACACTTATTTTAAAAACAAGTCTTGTTTTATTGCAACACTGGGGATTATTTTCATTCCCAGCCGGTAATGAATCTCAAATAGTCCCTTTCTTTCCTGTGAAGTGCTGCCAATAACAGAAGTGTCAAATAAAGTAGAACAAAAACCAACCGAAATACAAAGAGCTTCAAGAATGAGTCTGAACCCAACGAACGACTTTGCTTCCTGCAAAGGTTTTGTCATTTTGGCCTGTCCTTTATACCTTATGGGAGGGGCAATCACCTCCCAGCCTTACTCCCAAGTCGCCCCTTTTGTTTCAGCTGCTCTCGCCTTCTAGCAGCTCTGAGCACATGTGCAACTGGAAACAGGCTCCCCTTGTTCCTCGGCCTTGCTACTGCCAGGCTCCGGAGGTTCCGGAGTCAGCAACCCACTCCAAGATGGTCCTGGCCCCATCTCTCCATCGGACACAAGACCCCCATCCAAGTCCTCTCCAGACTCCCAGACAGATCCCCTTTCTTCCCCACTGTGCGATTCTGCTGCCATCTGCGCAGGCTGCCAGCAAACCACAACAGCCAGCATCTTCAATATAAGGCCTGCCGTCTCCCACCCTCATTGCAGTAGGTTGGGTTGAGAGAATGAATGGCCCACCTGATTTCCATGGTTGAAAAAAATAAAACCTGAGTCGCCTTGTTTTTAGTCTCAACGTTTCATTATGAGACCAAATGAACTCACTTAAATTAACTACCTTCGTTTCTTTCAAGAAAAAAAATAGCTAACAAGGAATATACTTATCCTTTTCTGCTTTTGTTTTTTATATGTATTCATTGTCTGTTTGAACTCAGCTTCTCAGTACTCCTTTACATGTGGCCACTCGCACTGGTGTAGCAGAGGTTGTGGAACATCTGATAAACAGTGGTGTGGATGTCAATTCCCGTGACCGTGTAAGAAATACCTTTTTCTGACTGCTTGTCTGCTTAACATGTAACTTGCATCTTAATCCACTAAGGTAAATGACCACAATTATATATACGCAGAGGATTTTGTAAGAATCATACTATCCAGATTTCCTTGTAGTACGGGTGAAATATAAATGTAATATGAAGTTCATGCAAATATTAGCACTCAAACTCACAAAGGAAACAAAATGAACAGAAAACTAAGCTTGAGAAAGATGTGCTATGGTTTTAGGATTTAAACATCTTCCTTTTGAAGTTTAATTTCAAATCTTAATATGCTTCTTTTTCAAGGTAGTCAAGCAATTCTCTATTGTAACTGTTCCATATCATCTTAGATATTTTCAGCCTACAAAGCACAAAACGAAACACTGTTTCTACTTTCTGATTCCTAGTGCTAATATTTTCCACATAATGGCAAACCTGCAATCTTATCTATGACAGACAGAAATTATTTGGCTGACATGATTTTCAACTCTATAGTATTTGCCCATTTCTTGTTATAGCTGACTCAGAAAGCCATATTCAGTGGATCCAGACTAATTTTTAATGCATGTTATTTTTATCTAGCTGTTTATTTGCTGCTATTTCTCTTGTTTTGGTACTATACTCAAACTTATTTTTGATTGCCAATCTTACATATAGATCTAATTCTCACATAATACTGTCATTGTGAAGTTTGTTTGTTTTGACAACGTAATTTATGAATTTTCCTATAGTTGACTAGCATTATCTATGAACAAGTCATTAGAGTTATTCAACAAACTGGTTATAATATTAGCATTATATGTGAATTTAGGCAGTGTGCTATTGTCATCTCTCTACTGCAGGAGGGAGACAGTGCCCTGCATGATGCTGTACGCCTCAATCGCTACAAGATAATGAAGATGTTGATTTTGCATGGGGCAGATATGTTGGCCAAAAATCTGGTAAGTTTTTATCCACTGTGGCCTATACAGTGGATAACATTTGTAAATAAATCAATAGCAACAAAAATAACAGCAAAAGAAATGTGGTTTCTTTTTCAGATGCTGTCCACTAGCATTTAATAGATCAGCAAACGCATATCCATGTTTTGAAGTAATGGAATGTTTCATGTCAGTTTGGAGTTTGTAAAACCTCCTTATCTCTGTTTCTCCTACACAGGCTGGCAAAACTCCTGCAGATCTGGTGCAGTTATGGCAGGCAGATACACGGGAAGTGCTGGAAAAGAAAGAGCCAAACACAACAGAAATGCCAACATGAGACGTAGTTGGATGAACAAAGCAGACACCTGCAATTTGAAGCAAGAATAGTTTGAAATTTAAGGTCACAAAACCCCAATAAAAATGCAATCAAAGCAAAACAAAACCAAAAAAAGTGGGGGGAAATGCAATTTCTAATGGTTTTTTTTTAAATCAATCACAATGCTATTATATCTTTGGCAGTTGGATGACGAGACTAAATTCAATAACTGAGAACCTTCCATTTTTCTCAAGCAGGCATTGTGAAATTTCTGCTTGTCACACAGTTGTTAAAGGTCTGATAAACAACCGCAATTCTGATATCCACTGAGTCAAATTGCAATAAGCTATTGATAATTCCCACAAGTTTCAAACAGCTGTATGATAACTAATCAGATATGACACAGTTTCAAATGTGATTGCTCTGGGACTTCTTGCAGGTGCAGATAACTAAGGACATGTGCATCTTCTATAACTGGCCAAGTAGTGAATGCAGGAGAAACTCACAGCTTGAGAAGCAACAGCCTTTCTGAGTACAGAGCAATCTGCTTTCAATCTTCCAGAAAAAATATAAAACCAGCAATTCAATGGCTACAGGAAAAGCATAAAGGACATTTTTAAAAAATCATGTAAAAACACAATATTCCATCCTATAGTCAATTTTTATACACAGAACACTAAAGTTGAAAAGACACAAACATAGGCTAGAAGGTGAACAAAACCACAACATAACGTTTAAAACAGAGTACAAAAGAAAAATGTAACGTGGATCTAGCCATCTGTTAAAATTATCTACCAATCATAGCAATGCACACCCTAAATATTAATTTGTTTAATTCATGTGCAGAGAGTGTCTATGCATATATTTTATAGTACTGCAAAGTCTGACAAGCTGGAGAACCTATCATATTCTTTTTAGAGTGTGAACCCAAGCATCAATTGGATGGCTGCCATGTGCTTTTCTGCTGGCCTTACTTTCCAAGTTGCATATTCACTTAAGAACAATTCATTTGAAGACATAGAACAACCTTTGTTTCTTTGGCAGAAATGTCCTTTCCAAAGTTGCAGGACAGCCAATGCCAAATTGGCTTAACAAATGGAGGTCAGATCTGTTGTTCAGCATGCAAAATAACACTGTTAATATTTTGTGCCCATTAAAAGTGCTAACATCCTTCAGCAGATAAGGATGTGAACAAGACACATTAAACTGAATAGAGAATGAAAACACTGCCATGTTGCCACTCTCCCTTTCTCGTCACCACCACCACTCTGATGCAGTTTTTCTGTGGATAATTGCATTGCCTAAACTTTGATGGTGTCATGATAAGGAGGGAAAGTACTGGTGCAACTAAGGGAGACTTAAGCATGTCACTCTGAAGGGCTAAGGGCGTGCTGAAGACACTGTCATAAAATGCTCCCCAAATATGTTGTCAGGACATATTTGTGTCATGGTTAAGAGAAAAGTGGGGGGAAACCTGTAATCCCTAAGAGCAACAACAAAATTTTATAAAATCTGTTAGGATTTGTCACTGCTTACCTGGAGTAGAGTAGGTCGCTGGTGAGGAATTTGAATGGCTTAATTGATCTGAAACAGCCAACAGATGCCAGTGCTGTTTATTAATGAATTTATATATAGTATTACACTGGAACAGCTATAAATCCCATAAACAAGCTCAAGGGACGAGCAGATGTTTTTACTTTGTAGTGAGAAAAGACCATTTATATCAAAGCAAATAAGCCCATTCTCTCATCAACCTCTTTGCTTCACTGTGGATTAATGAATAAGCCACATTTGTCTAAGCCAATCTAGCTAAGCAAAATCAAATAAACCATATTATGACTTAGATAGCGCAATTGCCATTCTGCTCTGTCTTTTTGCCTGCCAAGGTCTTTCATGCTGGTGTGGCCCGTCATGAAAGGCTCTTTCTTGTTTTGTTTTTCACCCTAACCTCTGGCTTTCCCCCCTCCTTCCTCTTCCCCACAACCACCTTGTTCGTGGATTTTAGCAAAGTCAACTCTTAAAAGACTTCCTTTTGTATAGTGTTTACAATAGCACCGAGTGAAGAGGTTTATAAACTCATAAATAGATAAGGAAAGCTTAGACTCGGAGGGAGTTTGGCCTACTTCCGTCTGGGAACAGGTCCAACCTGAAAGTTGCAAAAGAAACGAAGGGAAGGAAGAGGTGAAGCGGCGCCTGCTTTCTGCTTTCAGGTCTCCTAAAGGGAGTTCAGCCAGCCGTATCTGAGCTGGTGTGGTCTGACTTCCCGCCCCGCGGGCGGTCTCGAGGGACTTTTCCTCCGCCTTCCTGAAGGGATCCGAAGACCTGGAGCGGCACAGCATTCGCATCAAGCAACAGCAGGATGGCCAGGGCGACCCTAGCCCCGCGCTTTCTGTGCCAATTTTGGCCGCGGACCCCTTGCGCGAGCCCCACGCGTGTGGCTGCGGGCGGTGTTCTCCGAAGGTTCTTGGCTGCAGCGGCACCTGCTCGCCGCCTAGACCTGCGGGGTATCTATCCGCCCCTCGTCACCCCTTTCACGTCTCAAGGCGGTGTAGATTACGCCCGGTTGCAGGAAAATCTGCGCCTCTACGCCGAAATTCCTTTCCGAGGTAGGGTATTCACTCTTGAGGGGAGAAGGACACACGGGTAAATGTGTCCTTTGAACCCTGCGGAAAGAGGTGGGGGGAATCGTACAGTTTCCAGTATGCTTCCTTTTGCCCGTCTAAAAGCAACCAACCACATCTATCTATCTATCTATCTATCTATCTATCTATCTATCTATCTATCTATCTATCTATCAACAGGTTGTGTGACTGGAGACATTGTGGTTCTGAGCCCAACTAGTTATGGTTTATTCAGTACATTCTACTTAAGTAAAGCATGATATATTAACTTGTTCCTAAATGGTGAACTCAGGCCATCTGGACAGATTTCTGTTAAAAGCACATTTCTGGCATAGAAAATATTCAGTTTTGGGGGAGAAACCAACATGCTTCACTGTGGAGAAAGTGCCACCATAAATGATAGCAGGAAGGCATACACCTGTTATGGCAGAATATTATCCAGATTTTTTTGTTGCTAAGTTGTGTCCAACTCTTTGCAATGCACCATAGCTCACTGGGGTTCTTCTGTTTTCCACTGCCTCGTGGAGTTTGTCCAAATTCATGTTCATTTCATCAATGACATTATCTAACCATCTCATCCTCATCCTTCTCCTTTTGCCCCACCTTTTCCAGTGTTGTTAGTTTAAGAAAGATTAGGAAAAAAGAAACCATTTTATTTTATTAAAATTTGGGTGTGCTTCTCCTTCCTGTACTTTTGAAAGCACTAATAAGTCCTTTCAAAAGTATAGGAAGGCAAAGCACAGCCAAATTATTTTGTCTTCAAGGATACGCATAGTTGCCCACCCAGACTTTGAACCTAGCCTACTGTAAATGGAAAATGGAGGAACATGTACTGGATAGCACATTTTTCCTATTCCTGAGTAATGATCTACTAACATTAACTAGCAGATAACTATATTATATCAGTAACAACTTGTGTACTTCTTGAATTCCCAAGAAATGTATTCTTTCCTAAAGCTTTTAGTTCATCTGCGCTCAGGATAAAGCTATTGTCTTTTCATGGAAATGATCATATGCCTAACTATAATATAAATGTCAAGTAGAAATTCAATGTATTATTGCATCTTATTTATCTGTGTATTGCGTTTTTTAACTTTCCTTTGAGAGGATATAAATGGAAATCTTTACTTTTATCCCTACAATGAGTTGTGAGGTAACTTGGACTGAAATGTCATTGGAAAGTCCCCCACTGAGCTATGTTCCAGTTGGGAGTTTAACCTGAATCTCCTCTATTCAAGTTCACCACCAGACTACACTATCATAGTGTCGGTAAATTAACTTACTCAATTTCTGCATGTGATGTAACTATCATTTGTTAATAAAAGTTAAGCCAGGCTTTTGTAATGCTATACTGCCTTTGGAATCTACTGGAAAACATAAGCTGAGTCAAAACATGGCAGCTGGGCGGATGATACAGGAGATTTGTTCCCCTAGCTCAGAGGTGTCAAACTGGTGGCCGGCGAGCTGGATGTGTCACGTGTAAGCCACGCCCACCCAGCTTGGCAAAGGGGAAAAATGTCACAAGACGTCCTGTGATGGCAACATCACGCCATGAGTTTGACACCCGTGCCCTAGATCTTATTATTAGGTGACAATTGCCATCAATCTGGCACATAACCCATATGGCTGGAATTAATAACAGTTGGAGTTCAACAGTATCTAGAGCAGGGGTCTCCAACCTTGGCGACTTTAAGCTTGGAGGACTTCTACTCCCAGAATTCCCCAGCCAACTCCCATTCTGGGAGTTGAAGTCCGCCAAGCTTAAAGTCACCAAGGTTGGAGAGCCCTGATCTAGAGGGACACTACTTCTTCACCTCTTACCTCAATGCTCATCTGGAACATGTATCTTTCTTGTTTTAAAGTATGCTACTATATATTCCAAATACAAATGAAAATGTGAGTTGTGACTTTTATACTGTAAGCAGCCAAGGTTGCAAGATTAAGACATATTCCCCAGACCTGGACTAATTTGGCTTGTTTACTGCTGTGTATAGACTACTAGTTTCTTAATGCCTGCTGCTTTTTCTATTGTTTGTTCATCTTATAGTTCCATAATGTTAATTATTTGATTCATTGATGCTTTGCTTTGGAGAATTTTAGTTTAAAAACATAGGTAACCCTCGATTTACAACCACAATTGAGCTCAACATTTCTGTTGTTAAGCAAGATGGTTAAATGAGTTTTGCCCTACTTTTTGACCTTTCTTGCCACAGTTGTTAAGCAAATGATTGCAGTTGTTAAGTGAATCTAGCTTCTCCATTGATTTTTCTTGTCGGAAGGTCGCAAAAGGTGATCATATGACCCCAGGACAAATACATGCCAGTGGCCAAGCATCTGAATTTTGATCACAAAACTGTGGAGATGCTGCAACAGTTGTAAAGGTGAAAAATGGCTATAAATCCACTTTTTTCAGTGACATTGTAATTTCGAATGGTCACTAAATGAATGGTTGTAGGTCGAGGACTACCTGTATGCATACTTAAAATAAAACAGTGGGATTTTCTGCTTGATGGAAACATAAATAGCTCCTCAGTGTTATCTTCTTATTTCTTTAGGTTTTGTAGTACATGGTTCCAATGGGGAAGCTCCCTACTTGACACAGGAGGAATGCCTGGAAGTCGTGATGCGGGTGCACCAAGCTGTGCCTAAAGAAAAGCTTCTGCTGGTTGGGTCAGGATGTGAATGTGAGCAATAAAAGAAGTAGACTAGAGGAGTTGGCCTCTAGCTGACCAAACCTTATATAAAGATTCTATGTCTGGTATCTAATTTGACCCTCAAGAAGCTCCTAATATACCAAGAGCTGTCCTTTAAGTCACTTATATTTCTTCTCTTAGCAACTTACTGCACCATTGAGAAGACAAAACAAATGGCTGACAAGGGTGCTGATGCTGCTCTTGTGGTGACTCCTTGTTACTTCCGTGGAAGCATGACCAGTGCTGCCTTGATCCATCATTACACCCAGGTAAAGAAGTGGGTCAGGATATTCTCTGATTTATATTTATTAGAGATGACTGAAGTGGTGTCAAAGGTATCACATTACACCTTGAGCCAAAAAAGTAAAGCTGACATTATGGCTTAGTATTATGTATAAACCAAATCAGATGATAGATACTAAATAAAGTTTTGAAGGTGTGGTAAGATGATGCTGGGAACAGTGATGGAAAGGTTATGTATTCCTTATCTATTACATATTATTTGAACTTGAAGGTGTTGTTAGAATTCAAACACAATAGAAATTCAGCTTTTTTAAAAAAAAAATCTTGATTCAAGTGAAATTTCTTAAATTTAGTGATTGTTTACAGATAGAAGTACTTTGTCTTAAATTCTTTTACTTGAATACTGAGCGTTGAACAGAAAATAAAAAACGAGAATTTGTATCCTCCATTCTTTTTCATTATAGGGTTGAGATTAACTTCTCATTATTCATTCTCAAGATTCTGAGAATTTCATAAGCAGTTGAAAAAGGCTTTCTATATCTGTGTCCTCCACATTTGTTGGAATTACTGCATATAAGATTTAGCCATGTTGGCTGGGAATACTGGGAATTGTAATACCAACATATTTGAAAGATGCCAGCTTAGGACAGGCTGAGTTAAATCAATTAATGGATCACAAGCCATTATTGAAATCATGGTATTTGCCATAGAAGGACAACTATTCTGAAATTTGCTATGGTGAAAGAATGGATGTATCCCAATTCACCAAAATATTATATTTCAATGATCCACATTCTGCTGAGCAGGAAATGCATGTAATAATTCAGTTGTCCAGTTTCTAAATACTAAAGTGCAATAATAAGCCAAGCAAAATTCAAGAGAGATACAATTGCAATATCCATGTAGCAGAGGTACATAATTTGGGACCCCAAGAATGTATGTTTTTCTGAAAGCCTCAGACATCCTCCAGAAGTTGGCACTTCTTGTTGTACCTTATGATTCTTGACTCTTGATGAATGTATCTTTTCTTTTATGTATACTGAGAGCATTTGTACCAAGACAAATTTCTTGTGTGTCCAATCACACTTGGCCAATAAAGAATTCTCTTCTCTTCTCTTCTCTTCTCTTCTCTTCTCTTCTCTTCTCTTCTCTTCTCTTCTCTTCTACAAAGTATAGTGTTTATTTTGACAGCTGAGAAAAATACTATTAATTAGTTAATTTAATTATGTCTAGTCACCTGTGTGCTCACATCCTTTACTACTTTATGTTCCCAGGTGGCTGATGCATCTCCAATCCCTGTGATACTGTACAGTGTTCCAGCCAACACAGGCTTGGAACTGCCCAATGAGGCAGTGATCAACCTCGCGCAACATCCTAACATAGTGGGGATCAAGGACAGTGATGGTAATGTGAGTGAAATATGACAACCAGATGCTGCACTAATGTGATCCCTTCAGGGATTCTTATTCCTTCTTGGCAATATAAGAATCTACATGTTGGTCATATTTTGGTGTTAAAGAATGAAAGCTGTTGTACACATTTTCTCTTAAGAGACCTGGAGATCTGCAAATTGTTCTTTCCCCCTATGAAGAATTAATGTTTCAGTATTGAAAAAAAATGCTTTTTAAACATTTTTAGCACAGCCAGGTGGCAGTTTCCCATACAATTATCACTTGAACATTAAACTAACAGTAGAACAACAAAGTAGGTACTTTGTTAAAGTTCACATTACTGTTTTATAGAGAGCGCCATACCATAGAATGTGACGATTCAAGTTCAAATCTCTGTTTCATCAAAAAGCTCACTGGATGATAACAGTCAAAGTTTACTTTTACTTATGAGTAAGAATAAACACAGCAATCCCCAGGCTGAGTAGATTGAAGAATAAGGTGTAATATAAATTTGAAAGATAAAAAATATAACATTTATGTGGTAATTATACAGTAGTTATTTCTGAAGAACCAATATAGGATGAAATCCCAACTATATTTGTTCTACTGTAGCTGGTCTGCCTTATGAGAACAACTATTGCTCTTCAAGCACAGCTGTATAGGAGCATTTCAAACAGCTTCAAATTTTCATTTTCCAAACATGAGGCTGCGGAAATTTTGCTAACACACTTCTGAAATCTAAAATTGTATTATTTTTTTTCCAACAGACTTGTCTAGATGCATGAAGCTGGAGACCGTGTAATCCTTAGCTGCCTTTTAAATTACAAGACCTTTGTAGAACAAAGTGAAAAAAGAGAAAACTTCAAAAAGCTAACAAACTTTAGACTGGCCTCTCCAGATGTTTTGATTCTAATTCCCATTACCATTTTGGATATGCAGGCTGGAACTGCTGGGATTTTTAGGACCAAACATCTGGAGAAATCTACATTGGAAAAGATTGATTTAGCAAAATCAAGTGGCATGGACAATATTAAAATGTTCATTAAAGAGCCTTGTATTTATTACTTCCTTGGCATGTGTGATTATGAGTGCAGTATCACCATGAGCCCCCTGTGTTTTTGCTAATGGCACCTTTTAGCATTTTGGTGATTAGTGCTATCTCCTGCTATCAAACCAATCTATCTTTTACCAGATTACACGCCTGGGGCTGCTTGTCCACAAGACACAGAATGAAGACTTCCAGGTACTGGCAGGATCAGCTGGTTTTTTGCTAGCCAGCTATATTGTAGGTAGGTTGTAGGATAAATGTTTCAGCATATGGGGAAGCAATATCCCACTTTCGGAATAGGAAAGCAGCTATTGTGGTGGTGCCAAACTCACGGTCCGCAGGCTGGATGCGTTGCCTGGTTTAACAAAGGGGAATAAAATTCCAATATGTCACGTGATGCCGCCCTGATGATGAGAGTTTGACACCCCTGAGCTATTGTAATATTTTTAAAAATACAATAGTTGTATTATAATGTACATGATTGCTAAGAAGAAATTATTAAGTTAGTATGCTCTGGAACAAGGGTGTGAAACTCGCAGCCCGCGGGCCAGATGCATCACATGCTGGCCACGCTCACCCCCGTTTTAGCAAAGGGGGAAAAAGTCACGATACCTCACGTGACGACAACATAACGCTGCGAGTTTGAAAGCCCTGCTCTGGAATAATGCAAGAAAAGCTGTTGGGGTGGATGAAGTATATATGGGAAGATGAATTGTTTATAAACTAGACATTTTCTGTTGACTCTGAGCTCTACTTTAGGTGCTACAGGAGGAGTCTGTGCCCTTGCCAATGTATTAGGCAGTGCTGTCTGTCAGCTTGATGATCTTTCCCATGGTGGAAACTGGGATGAAGCTCGCGAACTGCAGCATCGATTGATTGAGCCAAACATTGCAGTAAGAGCCCTTAAATGTGGGGGAACTTAAACATTCTAAAGTGAAACTATCCTTGTTGGCAAGTTTTGGGAAAGAAGGTTAGAATAATTTTAAAAACCCACTATTTTTGTGGGATTCCCGCAGCCAGGAATCCGCCTGAAGTCCAATCCTGTGCACTTGTCATAATAATCTTCTTTGAACTGGAGGCTGTGTGTCCCATAATGTCAAATACAATGATAAAGTAATTCTACTAAATCATTGTCTACTGCTCTCCTGCTTTCATTCCAATAGTTTGAACTTTCCACATTTAAAATTTCTATTTTGCTTTTTTTTTAAAAAAAAAAAAACAACCCACGCACTTAGAGAAAAAAATCACAGTGTTTGAAAAGCCTGTGTTTCATTCACATGGTGTGTTTCCAAAATGTGTTCCTCCCCCCCAAATTTTTTACAATTATGAATTTTGAAATACTTTCAGATTAATTTTAGGCACAATTAATATTTAAAAAAATAGTCAGGTCTTTTAATTAATTAAAAATCCTGGTTCTTTTAATATTAATTAACCTTTACTAATTTTCCTAGTCTTTCTGCTTTTCATAGTTCAGTGCTAAAATGTGCTTGTTAAAAGATATTGGACAGAAACATTGGGGATAAACCGTGCCTCTGTCAGTTAAAGTAGAGGAAAATGTAAAATTAAACCATTGGCCTAAATTAGTAGTAGATTTATACTAACTCCAGATCTTATGTTATCTAAGTAAAAAAATAACAATTTCCCCCCAAAATAATAATCTACATTGTTTCAAGGAGTCTACATTGACTCAAAATGCTGAAGTATTGCAGACATGAATTCCTTACTTAGGTTTAGGAAAAATTGCAGAGAAATAATTGTCATTACCAATTCTTACATAGTACAAGCCTTCAATCTGTGCCACTTTCTGTTATTAGAGTGGTGCTTGCATGAAAAGAAATTTGTAAACAGTTATTCTACAAGATTAGTCTGATAGTATCTTTTAGAATTTTATATTATTTGTGTTCCAACAGGTCACCCGGAAATTTGGGGTCCCAGGTCTCAAGCAGGCGATGGAGTGGTTTGGCTATCAAGGAGGCTTTTGCCGTGCCCCTTTGCTACCATTAACTGAGATACAATTAATGGAATTACGCCATGATTTCACCTCCAATGGCTGGCTCTGAAGGACAAAGGAGTTCTAGCAATGCCTGGAATCTAGCTGCAGCCAATTACTGTCTAATCGGGAAAGGCTCATGTGTCTTGCAATTTACTTAAATGCATGCAGCTCATTCAACTCATAGTGTACTTATTGGAGCATCACTATAGCAACAAAACAATGAAGTAAAATCTTCAGAATGGAGCTTTAGATGTGAAAATGCTGTATCTGCGAACATTCCTTTGCCACTTAAAATTTCTCAATTCTATATAGCACACCTATGTCTTATATATCTTCTATTCTTTTCAGCATTTTCCTATACCCTGACTAGTTCTGGAATCATAGAATGGTGAAAGGCTAATTCTCTGGGTTCAGAAATTAGATGTGTGTAATCTTAATGTCCTATGTCAAAGATAACATTTCATTCATTTTTATGATTTACTAGGTCAAAATACCATTTGCACTACTACCTCATGCACAGTAAATGAGTTTGTTTAATAGTTGTATGATCCACTGAAAAATTGAAAACTTTTGAAATGGTATAAGAATGTGCAATTAGTGAATGATTATGTGCCATCAAGTCATTTTTGACTTTTAGTGACTACATAGATTTTCTCCATTACAACCTATCCCTAACCTGTTACCTACACTATGTATTTATGGAATTCACTGAAGCTAGATCAGTACAATTTAAGTGTTGTTTTTTTAATTATTTCATAAAACACCGCTGCATAGGTCTGAGTGTTGCTCATAGCCCTCAAGGGCAGAAATGTTATAGTATGGCATAAAAATACATTCTTCCAAATAATTATGGTTCTGTTATTGTCCTTTTTCCGCTGTCTAATAATGGTGCATTATATTTGGAAAAAGGAATGGAGAACCGTTCAATAGTTTTGCTGCTGACTATATATTTAGCTAAAGCATAAACACACTAAGGCTAATTGATGGTACAACTTCTTGCAGTACATCCAGATCCAAAATGACTAGAAGTGGATAATTGTACCTATGCAGTCACAGCCCCAACCCTGTTTTCTTTAAAAACTATATGGCTGAAGGTCAGTGAGACTGGAGCATCAGACTTAATCAAGCTGTTTCATAAAACATTTTATACAATTCCAGCAGCATGAGTAGAAACAAAATTATTATGGAAAATCTCTTCAAGTGGAAAAAGTTGGGGGGAAATTGAAGTTGTAAATAAGAAAATGCATTGCATCCTTACAAGTACTTAAGTTTAGTTGAACCAGTTAGTGGAAGCTAACTAATTGTGTCAAATTTTTCTTTAAAAACATAGATATGAAAAATGTAAAGGACTAAACATTTTGCCAGCATAGTAGGCAGTTGCAAATGTAAAGACCAGCATCAGGTGAAGATTGCTCAAGGGGGCAGTTTTGACAGTTGTAGGTCAAAGGAGCAAAGGGAAAAAATGGAAAGGATAACATCAGAAAATATTGGAGTACCTTATAATTATCTAAAACTCATTGGCTGGATTCAACACTTTCTATGCTATGATTTAATCTTAATTGTTGGATAAATTACAGCAGCTGAATTCATACATTTGCTCAGCCACAAGTAAACAAAATGGCATCTTGGCTAAGTGTTATTTGAATCTACCATTTCAAGCAAATTCATATACGAGTCAAAAAGAGGGCTGTGAAAATATTTACAGATCCCTCACATGCAGGACATAAACTGTTTCAACTCCTTCCCTCAAACCAACCTATAGAGCACTTCACACCAGAACTAGACACAAGAACAGTTTTTTCCCAAATGCCATCACTCTGCTAAACAAATAATTCCCTCAACACTGTCCAACTATTTACAAAGTCTGCACTACTATAATTATTAATCTTCTCATCACTCCTTATCACCCATCCCCTCCCACTTGTGACTGTATGACTGTAACTTTGTTGCTGGTATCCTTACGATCTATATTGACTGTTTCCTAGTATGATTTGATTGCTTCTTATACCCTATGACTATTATTAAGTGTTGTACCTTGTGATTTTTGACTCTTGATGAATGTATCTTTTCTTTTATGTATACTGAGATCATTTGCACCAAGACAAATTCCTTGTGTGTCCAATCACATGGCCAATAAAGAATTTTAATTCTAATATTCAAAGATGGCCATTAAAGGTGTTGGAAGAACATCTTTTAAGATGACTAGACAACCCATAACCCATTGGGTTAACGTTTCAGATATATTTCCTTACTAAACTCAACTGAATGACCACAGAGGAAAAAAGCAGTGGAAGCAGGAGCAACTTCCATTTTCCTGTGGGCTTCCTTATTGGCTTTTTTTGTAGGAAACTGGCAGGGAGTATGATCATGACTGCAGCAGTTGCCACAACTTCCCCAAATTTCAATCCCATGGGAGTCATGGGTCCCAGATTTTGTACACATTCTATAAATTAGCCCATCTGAGGTATCTTGATTCAAAAAATGTGGCCCTGTAATGCACCATTTCATCCAATTGAAGGTTACACTCAATCAGAAAGAAGAGTTTTAGTAGTATAAAATAAATGGCTATCATTACCTACATATGCAAAATATTGTCTTTAAAAAACCAGCGGCTTGTATTCCAACATTGGTTGTATATAATGATTTGTCCTGTTTTTATATTCAGTCTAACCAGATATTCTCATTGCAATGGTATGGAAACTTTTCAGATTAGTTCCTATTGAATCTCAAGGACTTAATGAGTAAGTGATGGAACTAGTGAGTGGAGCCTGTACAGTAGTGCTCAAAAGTTTGTGAACCCTTTTACATTTTCTATATGATCTAAAATGTGACTACTGTAGTTTGCCACCCAAGTCCTAAAACGAGATAAAGAGAACCCAATTAAACAAATGAATAAAATATATTTTACTGTATGTAATAAAATACATCAATTTAAAGAAAATTATCGAAATGTACATACAGGTAGTCCTCAACTTACAACAGTACATTTAGTGACTGTTCAAAGTTACAACAGCACTGAAAAATGTGACTTACGACCATTTTTCACACTTATGACAATTGCAGCATCCCTAGTCATGTGATCAAAAATCAAATGCTTGGCACTACTGCATATTAGGCCAGAATAAACACAAGATCCATTCTGGATCTGCATAATTGAATAAGGCTAATCCACCTGCCTTGGTATCGGAAGAAAATAATACACCAAAGTCGAGCTTCAGCAACTCTTTATTTGGCCAAGGCCCTTAGATGGGCAAAGACACAAAGGCACGAGGGTAGCATTGACACACAGACATTCAGTGTAGAGATAGGCTGGTTACAAGGGCTCCAGCATGGCACTTAGGAACACACATTACATGGGTCAATGCTTGACTAAGAATACCGCCCCATTAAACAATCCCATGTTTAATTTTAGTGCACAGAAACATAAAATGGTTGACAGATACAGAGTTATTCTTTATTGACCCATTTTAACTCAATTGTTACCCCACGGAGGGATTTGCTATAATCTCTAGAAAATTTAACTTCTATTCCTCCAGCCTGGTATTTTCATTCAGCCTGCTTCTCTAGCAAGGAACCAGTTATCTCTTCCATATCATTGCCCATCTATTTGTACAATATATGAAGAATGCCCTGCAATCTCATCATTTATAAGTTATTATAAGGTGTTTGCTAGCTTCCAGTCTTATTTAATGTATTTTCTACAATGGTGTTTCTCAATCTTAGCATCTTTAAGATGTGTGGACTTCCTGACGACTTCTGGGAGTTGAAGTCCATACATCGTAAAGTTGCCAAGGTAGAGAAGAAACACCGTTCTATAGAGATATACAGTATGGCATTATCTGGGAACAGCTGTCTCTTTAGCTTTACGGCATTGTATAAAAGATGCTGTTGCTTATTTTGGATACATATAGGGCTACACATGCCATTATTCTGTGATATTATAATATATTGGACTAGTGATCAGCATCCTGAGATTCATTTTATTTTAAAGCAAATGTCTAGCCATTAAGGCAGAAAAGTCAGGCTTGAAACATTAATGGAATGTGTGGTAAAGTTTCAGACGCCAAAAGAGGGAAGTGTGGGTGGAGACAAGGAGTATTTGTGTGCAAAGAAATTCCAGTTTTGAAGTAGGAAGGAATTTGCAAAACTTTGCCTTGTCCTATGACTAGCAGAGGCAAGGTTTTAAAAAGTAACAACATTCCCTTTTTAACATTTGTAAAACGATACAGCTGTATGTACATGGCACTACGGTAGATGAAAACCATGTAACATCTCTGGAGTATAGTGAATCTCTTCCTACTATGGCCCTTAAATAAGTGATCTGCATCCATGTAAGGAAGGGATAATTGTGAAATGCTGTCTGTCACACAAGAAGCTCACAGTGAAAACGGCCTTAGCAAATTGTGTAAAACACAAGGCTAGAATAAAGAGTGGAAAGAGATCCTGAATCTGTTCTGGAGTCTTAAAGCATAAAATGTAGTAGAACTCAGACATTCTTATTATGCCGATCTACAAAATTGTTAAAAGTCACATTCAGAAAGTCTAGAATTCTTAATGCCACTCAATATGTTAATTCTTTGCTTTTTGTATTTATTTGTTTATATGTATTCATTTAATTTTTATAAAGAAAGGAAGACTGAGCAGTAGGGAATCAACTAGAGGTTTAGGGACATATAAGAAGATACAAAATTAAGCTGAATACAAGTTCTTTACAAGTTCTCTGACCACTGGAAACCAACTCAACTGATCATATAACAACAACAGCTGTGTTAGGTTTGTGGCAAGAAAGATGGATTGTATATTAACGAGCCCCAGTAATTGGGATACCCATTGTGCCCAACTCAGTTGTGGGGTTATAGGATTAGCAATCTGTCTAATGGAGAATGCTTCTAACAAAGGAATTGCTATGATTTTGGATGTGATACTGACAGGACACATAGGCTTCATAGCTTAGTTTTGGCACCAGTTCACATTATAGGGGCCAAGCTGCTTAAGGAAATGATAAAGGCAAGCAGGGTTCAGTTATAATAGTTTGCATCCTAGAGATGGTATTTCCTTCTGTGAATCTTGTACTCCATACTCTTACCAACCTCTGGGTTAGGCTGCCAGTCATAAGAAAGCCCTGTGTTATGGTAGAATTTATACTCTTTATGCTGTCAAGCTATGTGCCATCTTGGAAGCACTCTGTGCACGTTGGACCACTGTCTGGCACTTTTCCCGTCGCAAGAGTTTGTTGTTTTCAAAAAAGCCTTCATTACGGGGTTTCCCATGAGAGCCATCAGGAAAAGTCAAAAGTCCTGTGGGAGAAAACAGAACATTATTGTTCAGTAGGAAAGTTGATTTGTGCATGCAGTGCTATGAAATATGTCTGCATGTATCTCAGAGGATGGTATTTTTAAACAAACTCTCACATATGCCCTGTTCCATGCTGCAGCAAACTTCCAAAATAGATTTAATCCAAGATTATTAGCTTTGATGCTTAGTTACACCCACAGGATGTATCCTTATCACTCACCAAAACCATCAACCCGTCCACCCTTGAATTCTCCCTCGAAGATCATGTTGTCATAGCGTGTGAAGACTCCAACACCGTTGAATTTTCCCTGCACAAATTCCCCTTCATATCTGCAAGAATAACAGGAGTGTGTCTGATTGGACACTGCTATCTCATTTGCAATTACTATAAAAAAGTTCTTAAAACATCAGTACTAAATAAAAGGAAAAGGGCCTTAGAAGTATTAATGGAATATTTTAAAACATTCAGTGGCCATTCTACAGCATGCCAATGATCTATACTGAAAAAGTATATGGCAACA